TAAGTTATGAGCTATCAGCAATATAACACGTGCAGTGATGGTTTTCTTGAGTGGTTAGAGGTTAGAGGTTCTCCTTTCGTTCGTGGTCGGGTTAAATGTCTCTCGTTATGCTTAGCTGTTCGTTGAATCATGTGGCAACCTCCCGTTGTCTGATGTAGAAATCCCATTGTTTGCCACCATTAGGAATCGAGAAATGTTCTGTTAGTGCACGTGGTCTGAATGCCTACAAGGCCAGAGCAAGTAGCTTGCCAGAGAAAATTCAACCCATGAATACCAAATCTTACGCTTGGTACCTTTTCATTGGGATACGGCGATTACAAATACTTACTGGAGACATACGAGGGCACACGAATTATCGGAATTCATTGAGTGATTCCATTACCATGCTTAGGAAGAATCACTTTTATTCGACATAGGCTGATGGTATACTTTCCTCCACAACCCCAGTGTCTGCTGCGTTGTCATACGACCTTGACGATCAGTGCGGTCAAACGAAGAAGCTGGATCGTTGTGCATGGCATTCCAGACGACAAGAATCGCTTTGATTGGGCTTCTCGTGGAATCCCATGTGCATGAAATGTGAAAGTTATCGCAGGAATTAATTCCTCAGCGTTCAACAATCTCTAGATGACGCTCATCTGAAATATTCTCTTGGTAGTCTATGAAGAGCAAAGCTATACGGGGACCGCCAGGTAGTCCAAATGAGATTAGACACTCAACTTGCATCAATACAGCCTTCATGGAAACGTGCATGGTGTGTCATTCAGCGCGAGTGGGACATAGGCGGCACCGTGGTGGCCAGTCTCCATCTTTGGCAGTTTTGCAGATCGGCTCAGGCCATAAACCCCAGCAAACCGTAAGCCGGTGCGCAGGTTTTCACCACCAACGTATTCGGCTGATATTGGTTGGGTGACCATGCACGTCAAATTGCACGGTGCGATCCAACAGATGGAACCTGAATGCAGGACGAAAGGTTGGTTGAGCCCAGAAATTATGTGCCAAAGATGACAATCAGGATGCCAAGCGGTTTGTAATTTCCGGGGCTAATTTTGAGGATACGCAGAGCAATCCATGTCATACAGTTCTAGCTGCCCAATATGCGGAATTCTAACAGTGCCAAGAAGACGCACCGACTCACGCTCCTGCATCAATCAGGATGTCGTTCAACGATTTTACGTTTCTAACAGAGAAAGGAACACGCCGTGATCCACCATTCACGGAAGTCCCAAAATTTTGGCCGCTTCTTCGTGTTCCCCGGAGCGAACGGCGGCAATCGCGCAATCTTGACAGCACCCACAAGCATTGCACAAAGCTGTATGACACTAATAAGTGCTGTTTGAATGTGGATTCTGGTGCCGATGCGATGTCCCGTGAAGGTTTGTTGACCGCGCTTTCACAAATGTGCAATAGATGATAGCGCTCACCGACAGCAGATAGGATCTAAGGGAAGCCGAACTGCTCTCCACCGATTGGCACACAATCTTATTTCCCAAGGTTAAACCCGTCTGTGTCTGGAGTTGCAGTAATCCACCTTAGCCATCCCGCGAACCAACCTTGATGCATTTTTTCATTGAACGGTCGGAGTCGGATGCGGCATCCACGCATATCCCAGACTCTCGGAGGGAACCCCACAGTTATGAAGGCAGTTTCTGGAGCCAGAGGTTTCAGATAGTTCCGCCGTTGAGACGATCTTTTTCCGCACCTTGCAGGACGCAAGATGGTTTGTGGGTTATGCAGCTGTTTTTCTTACTGTGTATTGTGGCTGGTTAACGTACAACCAGTCGGAGGATCTGTCTGCACTCTGCAATAGTTCATTTACATGAGAGGCGAGAGGGTTTATGCTTAAGATTCAATAATTCCAGTAATAAGTTTTCGGTTCATTTAAAGGGCCACGATATTGAGCTAATAGAAACGCGAGGGGCAAGCGAGCGGGGAAGAGTAACAAACACAAAACGCCGAGCTTGAAAATGAAAAAAAACGAGGAGTCATTTTACAGATGCAAGAGAGGATATTCTAGGCTCGCTCTGCAGGCATGTGTAATTGTGGCACAGCTGCAAACGGACATCTGCCGATCCTTCTCTTCTAGATTCGTCACATGCGACATCGAATCCAACACTTCAATTTTTCATTCCGTAGGCTCCAGAGTGGCCTTAGCCTTTGACGCCCTCACAGTACACCATTTCATTTGATCCCAGGATTGAATGTTTGCCGATGATCGCACATTTTGGTAGCCACTGGACCAGCCGAGCAAAGTGGCCTAATCAGCCACTGTTTTTCCGGTGGCTAAGCCGATCACTGGCGTGGCAAACGTTAGTGTTGCTCCAGAATAGCCAGAAATTTTGCCAGCGCCACCAAGACCCTCATAATAAGGCAATATGTGGAAAAGTGACCAAAATTCTGGCTAGTAACAACCGGAATCATTCGCGCATAGATTCGGTTACCCTATAGCTTTGGGCGTTTTCGCATAAACTGGGGTCCCTTGTATAAAGGGAGTCAAAAGCCCATACAGAAATGTGAACCTTAATTTAAGACCCACTATCTCACAGGTTCACAAAAACCAAAATACAGGCGGGATAATGGTTGTGAGGCAACCGCACATCATTATACAACCCGCTGGTGAATGTCGAAGGCCATAATCACACATAGAGGACTGCCGTTAAGGCCCGTAGTGGTCTAGCTACACAATAAGTTACTTTCCCAGGAGTGCGTGGCAAAGAAACAAAAATAATAACGCTAGATTGGGCATACAATACATTGGAAGTCGGATGGAACAGACCCACTAATAATTGTTCAGTGGAAATTTCGTCCTGTAAGTGAAGCAATCTATGCTGAAAAGCCGGGAAGCCCTGTACAGCTGTTTCATCCTTATTGGGAGTCATCAGCAGTGCGCATCTCACGAAACTCCGAAGAGTCTCGAACCCGCGACCTCCCGGCTAGTAGTCTGAACACTTAACCGTTCGCCCACGAGTGGCCGATCAGCGGGAGGACGCGGGTTCGGGTCTCTTCGGAGATTAGTGAGATGCGCACTGCTGATCATTTCCAATAAGGCTGAAACAGCTGTACAGTGCTTCTCGGCTTTTCAGCATAGATTGGCTTCACTTACAGGACGAAATCCCACACAAAATATCCCAAATCTCCTCACACTACCCACAATATATAAGTAGCTCAGTGGAAGAATAAACTTCACCCGATGAGTGAAACTTCTATCTGAGAAGTCGTTGCTCGAGGAGCCAGTCAACACGTGTGACCGCGTGATGTGGATCCCGTGATTGAAGGATGAGCGGCGCTTTATCCTGTCTAAGTGCGAGTTAATCACACTGCTGATCAGCCACTCGTGGGCGAACGGTTAAGTGTTCAGACTACTAGCCGGGAGGTCGCGGGTTCGAGACTCTTCGGAGTTTCGTGAGATGCGCACTGCTGATGATTCCCAATAAGGATGAAACAGCTGTACAGTGCTTCCCGGCTTTTCAGCATAGATTGCTTCACTTACAGGACGAAATCTCCACAAAAATCCCAAATCTCCTCACACTGCCAATAATTGTTCTCTTTAAAATAGTTCGTCGTTGGCACAGGTAAACGATTACACAATAATCCAAGGGTCTTCTTCTGAACAATTCCCATATGTAATAGATTTCGAAGATGGTCTGAAATGTTTGATACCAGAGATCTCCTCACACTGCCAATAATTGTTCTCTTTAAAATAGTTCGTCGTTGGCACAGGTAAACGATTACACAATAATCCAAGGGTCTTCTTCTGAACAATTCCCATATGTAATAGATTTCGAAGATGGTCTGAAATGTTTTGATACCAGAGTTAGTACATGAGACTCGCGAGTGGCTGCTGCAAGCGCGAGTGAAATCAGAAGAGAGAGTCGAAGCACGCGACCACGCTTGTATTCTGTGAAATTGTCCAAGTGCCCGTTTTTGTAGTTTTTCATATTCAAACAAAGAACGATTATGCAATTGACCAAATACGTGGTGTTATAATGAAAGCACAATAAAAGTACAAAACACCACAGGTCAACCAGTTCTACGCATAAGATTGTTTTAGGTTAACTTTCTGGTACGGGTCTCGCTCTGGTTGAACATCAGGAAATATCCTCCAGCGTTTGGATCAAGATTTCGGACGACAGATTGCATTACATGTGATCACTGGTTCACGTGAGGCCTTCATGTGCTACCAACTGAGTTAAAAAGACAGTGCTGATAAAAACCAGGTGTAAGGGGAGAACGAACAAACAACAGAAACATTATAGAAAAAACTTATGTGTATGGAAATATGAGAAGCATCGACGAAATCCATTTTAGTTTCAACTGCTGCTTTAAGTACGTCTCTCAAATGAAAATTGGAACTTAACAACATGAAAGAGGCTCTGAACAAACTTAATTTCATTCGCTTTACGAAGGTGGATTAGCTGAGCTGTTTACCTTTCATCCCAGAATCGGCGGGCGGACCCACACGATGAAACTGCTCAACTCAGCGATCTGCACGTTCTTCTAATAATACACACTCCCTTTTAGCTTGGAAGGTATTTCCTCGAATTCTTAGGACCGATAGTCTCAAAATATGCATAAGGACCCTTCCTGTTGCCTATTTTTGTGACTGTTCTTGTCATGACGGCATATATGACATCGTTTATCTGGATTGGTAGGCAAATTCTGAAATTAAATCAAAGATAGGTTCACCACACGGGGAGCATAGGCATAAAAACGTTGAAATAAGGTGGTTGACCGTCCGAAGACACTCAAAAACATATGAACGTTTTGAACTTGCAAATGCCGCACAGTCTAAAATTCGTATAGCCCGCCGAGGTATGTGAAAAATCTGCATTGCTCCGCGAAAAGAAGGCCGTTGGTAGTAAAATTCTCCGTCCAGTTGCCTTTAATTTGTTACATACGATACGGTCCACCGGTTTTTCTCTTTCCTGGACACTCTTGTTTACCTAGATTCAGTCGACTCAATCACTGAGGAAGTTGCGCGACTAATGAAATCAGCTTCAGTTTGCACTGTTCCGGTTTTTTTCTCCGATTGTTTCCTTTCGATCATGGCAACCTCGCATACTTGGTGATCTTATAATGACCTGCTAACTTTACGCGGAATACTACCTTGAATACTCTCATTTAGTTGGATATAATGACGGACATCCGTCGGAAGACTACCTATGTTTCACGCACTGCGGACGGCAGACAAGCACATAATTTCAGCTCATTTTTCCAGTCGTCGCAGAAAAAGACGTTCAGCGCAGATCCTGAAAGTGGTATGCGACTTGTTGGTCCGATGTTTGAACTCACTGCCTGTGTGGAAATGAAAGGAGGGTGAGTGCTTGAAATATTTTTTTGGCTACGTGCTGGCCCTTCACAGTTTTTTGATAATTCCTGTTGGCCAACATAAATGGGGTTGACCGAGTGGCACTCGCTGGGAACCCGCCTACTCGCGTTATCTGTGATGTCGGGCGAATTTTTTTGAAGCCTAATGGCCGTCTGAACGAGGCGACTGTAAGGGTATTCTCACTCTATAGTTGTGGGAATTCATCTATCCAATCCAAGGACCGTAGGCGCCTTCATGCGTTTAGTCACCGGCCTCTGGGTGGCAACAGGCTGCAGCGAGTTCTTGAGATGGTGCGTAACAGGACGCTTGGTAACAAAGCCGAAACAGATTAAGCTAGCCGTGTGGAATTGGTCATGGCATGTTACGTATACCCCCACCACACTTCCCTGATGGAAGTATTGTCTTCTGTTTTAAGTGACTATTGGCACAAGGTCTCCAAGGGACAAGCCATGACATGACGTGAGGTGGTGTTTGCAGTCAGATTGCTACTAGATCCTCACCTTCCTAAATAGAGCCGACGTGATTTTACTTAGTTTGTTGGGAACCTTTCAGGGAATCCCACGCACCCGATCCCCATGATGCATGTGCGCCATTCTCGAAGGTAGCTGGTAAGGAGATTTCCAGACAGTTGGAGTGAGTCGATAATGGTACCCAATTTCATAGTGAATGCGACAAACGTAATGTTAGTTTTACTCCTATTGTAACAAGGCTTCTAGCTTCACAGATTGTCCGTTCCTCATATTCACATGCTCCTGGGCATGTGAGAGTATGATGAGCTCTCCAAAATGTTCCCAGCAAAAAATTGGGGTCCGACAATAGCGCCCAATCTGTGTTTGTTAAACACTGTCGTCGAAGTAATCAGACGGACGCTGGAAGGTTTTCAAAATCTGTGTTCAAACTGTTGCTGATGAGAAACTTGCCCATATGGAGTACGCAGACGGCGTCACTTGTCCCTTAGAGGAGGGTGTCACTGGGTCCCGAGTGTCGTATGTGTCTGGTTACAATAACGGTTGAACTGTTGGGTGGTTTCGTTTGTGTGCAGACGATGGGAGACGTTTCGAGGTTTTTTTTACTATCGAGACCTTGGGTTTTGCTTGTGTCGGATGGTGTCAACGCATTCGTAACGGGCGAGATGGCTCAAGTGATTAGAGCGTGAATCTACTGAGCAGAAGGTCCATGGTTCGAACCCGACCTCCGCCTCTCGACTTCCCCTATCTAGGCTTGGGCAACCTGCAGTATACCAGCTCTCGTGCTTCCTTGGGGTGGCATGGCAGCTAGGCACCGGAAGGGCGCTACAGCTGAACAATTTTATTTTTTCATTCCTAAAGGGCTTATTAAAGAAACGGGTAGTTTGTGCTGTGTATGCTTCAGTCGTGTAGGGCATTCAGCAACAGTTGCGTGATTATATGGGTGAGTGCGCTGTTGTCGGATAAGAATGTCCAAGTGATTTCCTGGATCTGCACTAGAATGGGATGGCGAGGCATCGTTAATAGGCAAGAGTTCAGTTTCTGAGCAACCACGGTGGATTGTTGGTGTTGTGTGAGGCTCCCCTTGTTCGGCGATATGTATTGGTTCCTGTTCTGTGTCGGATGTCATGTCGTTGCCTTTGGGAGCCAAGCGGCGCAAGGATACGGTTTCGTGTTTGCCATCTGGACGAACTATGTGGGCGTACTGTGGATTACAAGAGACGAGTTCCACTTCCTCTACCAGAGGGTCATATTTAGAGACTCGATCATTGCGTTTTAAAAGGATTGGCCCAGGGACAGTAAGCCAGGTAGGTAGGGATGCACCGTTGGCTGATCGTCGTGTGAACGGCATAAAACGTTCGTGTGGGGTACAGTTGATACTAGTACATAACAGGGATCTGATACAGTGAAGAGCATCAAGGAGGACAGCCTCCCAATGTGTGACAGGCAAGCCGCGCGATTTTAGAGCCAGGCAGATGGTCTTCCAAAGGGTACCATTAAGTCGTTCAACCTGACCATTACATTGTGGATTATATGCAGCGGTGTGACTACTGGCAACGCCTTTATCGAACAAAAATTGTTTGAGTTCAGTTGATATGAATGCAGAACCGCGATCTGAGTGAATATAAGCAGGCATACCAAACAGTGAAAACAGTTGACTCAAACAACGAATTACAGTGGAAGAGGACGTATCGGCGCAGGGATAAGCAAAAGGGAATCGAGAATACTCGTCAACGATTGTTAAGAGGTACTTATTACGAGTGTTTGAGGGAAGTGGGCCTTTAAAGTCGATACTAAGGCGTTCGAACGGTTGTGTGGCTTTGATAAGCTGGCCACGAAAGGTGTCACAAAATTTTGGTTTGAGCTCGGAGCAAGTGGAACAGTTGGACACCACACGTCGGATATCGCTGACTGAAAAAGGAAGATTCTTAGAACGAACAAAATGTGCAAATCTCGTGACCCCGGGATGGCATAATATGTTGTGAAGCTCTTCAAGTTTTTCCGTCCCAGTAATGTTGGCACAAAGGTTACGAGATAGGGTATCAGCAACGCGGTTATCTGTTCCAGGTCTATAGACGACGTCGTAGTTGTACCCTGCCAACTCGATTTTCCACCGTTCAATCTTGTCGTTCTTTATTTTACTTTTCTGTTGGTTCCCATACATAAAGGCTACCGAACGTTGATCCGTAATCAATTTAAAATGTCTCCCGAGGAGATAGTGGCGCCATTTGCGGATCGCTTCAACTATAGCATATGCTTCTTTTTCAACAGCAGAATGATTTTTCTCGCTTGCAGTCAAGGTTCTGGAGAAAAAGGCGACCGGCCGGCTACCCTGGCTCAGGGATGCACCAATAGCGATGTCGGACGCATCAGTTTCAACAACGAGAGGAATATTGTAGTCGACAGTAACTACCATCGCATTTTCTAGTTCGTGTTTAAGGTTCTCAAATGCTGTTCGGGCATTCTCCGGGAGCGGAAATATTTTGTTTTTAACCAATGGATGAATTTTGTCAGAGAACGCCGGTATCCACTGTGAATAGTAGGCAAACAAACCAACGGCTCTTTGCTGCGATTTCCCGTTCTCTGGAAGTGGGAGTTCTCTTATGGGGCGCATGCGTTCTGGGTCAGGTCTTATAATACCTTTGGAGACCTTGTAACCTAAGAGAGTAATCTCTTCAGTTGCGAAGCTGCTTTTCGTATCGTTCAAAGTAATATTGTATGTTTTTGCGACATCGAGAAAATGCCTAAGATTACGGTCATGTTCATCTCTCGTTTTGCCGCATATAGTGACGTTATCGATATAAGCGAATGTGTCTTTTACCTGTTCGGCTTTGATTATATTGTTCAGCGTTCGCTGAAAACACGCGACCCCGTTTGTCACTCCAAAAGGAATGCGCCGAAACTGGTATAGGTTCCCCCCAGCTTCGAACGCTGTGAATGGCTTGTCTGACTCGATTATTGGAACCTGATGATATGCACTCTGGAGATCCAGTGTGCTGTAGACGGTGTAGCGTGCGATGGTTTCAGTCATGTGGTGGAGTCTTGGTAAAGGATAAGCGTCAAGGTAGGTGAAGCGATTGATTATCTGGCTGTAGTCTATTACCATGCGTCTCTTGTGACTTGCATTGCGGGTAACGAGCACTTGTGCTCTCCACGGAGAATTTGATGGTTCGATTATGCCATCGGTAAGGACTTGGTCTACTTCGGTTTGTATGAATTGTTCATCTTCCGGTGTATGACGACGAGATTTTGTGGCGATCGGTTTGTAATTTGGAGCAAGATTGGTGAATAAGGATGGAGATTCCAGTTTTGCGGATGTTAAGCCACATACAGTTAGAGTACCCCGAATGGAATTTCGACTTTATCATGTAACCCCAGAAAGTCATGCCCGAGAAGGACGTCTGCACAAAGGTTCGGTAATACTCAAAGTCTGAAACGTTCGTATATAGCATCCTTGTACTGAATGGTCACAAGGCAATAACCTTTGGTGGGACATGAATGTATCGTCGACGCCATTGTTATCACAGAGTCGTACGGAAATAGCTCCCAGTTATGAGTTTGCAGGATTGATGAAGAAACGAAACTTCTGGAGCTGCCGGTATCAATGAGAGCTCGGACAACAACGCCGTCGACCAAAATATCTGTTGTAGTTTTGGATAGGCAATTGGGAGCAGCAGCACAAAATAGCGAGGAGATTGAGGAGTGTTGAGCTGAATCCGCGTGATATTTCGAGGCTTTGGACCTACAGACACGTTGAAAATGTCCAATTTTTCCACAACTCTTGCACACTGATTCTTTAGCGGGACACTTATAACGAGGGTGCTTGGGGTTGCCACAAAAATAACATGTTTGTTGTGTAGCGGCCGAGACTGTTGTTTCGGAATTAACAATGGGTAAAGGAGTAGATACCGAACAAGTAACGGGTTGTCTGTATACGTATGATTGTGACTGTTTTTGTGCAAGTTCGAGAGCTCGTGCGGCTTCATGGGCTTTGTCAAGGTCCAATTCATGCCACGTTAGCAGTTTCTCCCGAATGGTATTCGACTTCAATCCGGTTATCAGAGCATCCCGAACTGCTTCGTTTGTATGTTCCACAGCAGATACTGCTTTGAATTCACAGTCTTTAGCAAGCGATTTCAGTTTTTGAACGAATTGGTCGACATCTTGACCAGGTTCTTGTTTGTATGTGGCTAAAAGATGGCGTGCATACACGATATTTTTCGGGCGGATGTAAAGTTTTTCCAGCAAGGTTATCGCAGAATCGTAGTCGCTGCATTCTGCGATGAAGTCATACACTGTATGGTCGATGTGACGAATGAGAGTTTCCAATTTATTTAGACCTTCGGGTTTGACTGAGTTAATGTAAGCTTTGAAAGTACGGAACCAATGAGTCCATCGTTTCATGCCATCTGATGAGTGAGGATCAGCATTAAAACCGTAGGTCGGAGAATATGATCCATTTCGTTTTTTTAGACGATTAAATTGTTGCGAGAGTCAAGTAGTTCCAGGACGGGATTAGA